AGGATATGACAATATTTGGCCGAGATACAACTATTTGAAAATCTGGAAACTGAGGGTGCAAAAAAAATAAAAATATTGAGAAAATCGCCTTTAAAGTTGTCCAAATTAAGTTCTTAGCAATGCATATTACTAATCAAAATTTAAGTTTTAATATAGTTACAGTAGGAAATTTACAAAATATCTTCATGGAACATGATCTTTACTTAATATCCTAATAATTTTTGGCATTAAATAAAAATCTATAATTTTGACCCATACAATGTATTTTTGGCTATTGCTACAAATATACCCCAGCGACTTAAGACTGGTTTTGTGGTCCAGGGTCACATTTATAAAATCGTCATTACTCATAAAAGATAGCATGGTTCAGAGGCAGCCATCATAATTGTCAGGCAGGTCTCTCTCTATCTGTTCTCTCTTTAAATAGTGGTGTTAAGAGAAGACTAAAATACTCCTATATCTGAGTGGCCCAACAACACTTCCAGACAGCAGGAGGGAGAGGGTTTAATCAGAGCCCAGCTGAGTGTGACCTTTGCCAACAGATCGGTCCAGAGAGACCCCCTACCACCTAACTCCAGTCTCCAGAGCTGGTAACAATCAGAAAACTGCCTACCACCCATGACACAGACACACACACACACACACACACACACACACACACACACACCGAAAACACACTCACACCCTTACCTGACATGCGAAAGGGCATGGGGATCTTCTCTCCTGTGTCTGGATGGATGATGGCCTGAGGACATAATGAATCCACAGACAGCAGACAGGATGACGAGGAGGAAACGAGAGAGAAGAAGAGGTGAGAGTGAGCTGATGGGAGAATTACCATGCTGAGGTTAGCCGTAATTCTCCTCTCATTACACCACTATACAGAACTACAGCTTGTGAGCGCGTGTCACACTGCGCACGAAGATGTTGAGTGATTTAAGCAGGTTCTTTCATCATAGCAACCTGTAAAAGGCTTTCAACGCTGTTCACACTCACCTGTTTAATCTTCTGTGCCTCCCAAAGCTATTGTGAAAAACAGAAACATGCAAAAGAGGGAAATGTTTACGAGTATTACATCCTCACTTTGATTTTGTTGTGTAACTGATGTTACCAAGAAAACTGAAGTTCTTTACACAACACATGTGAATTTGATTTTGAATTTGATTGGCTGATGTTTGTTCCTCTGCTAACATACTACTCACATTACCTTTAATACACTCTTTAAAAAAGGCTCTTTATTGACATCTGTGGTTCCATAGAGAACCTTTTAACATCAATGGAATCTTTCCATTCCACAACAGGTTCTTTATAGTGAAAAAAATTTTAATTTTATAAACTGTTCACTGAAAGGTGCTTTGGTGAACCAAAAATGGTTCCCCTATATGGCGTAACTGCAAAAATGTGTAGCAAACATGACACAATGGGGGTTTCCAAATTACCTTTTAATGGGCCCCAAACGTACCTGCACATTAGTCACACTTGGAGGCAGAGTTCCATTTTTGAACTGATCCAAGAGTTTCATACATTCATTTAAACGTTTCTAAAAAAAAAATACAATAAATAACAGCGAAAACAGCATTCACATACAAATTATCAAATTATTTGAGGTTTACATTTCAGAAGGCTCTCGCTTACCTCTGATACAAAGAGCGTGCGAGGGTCGATCACATCCAGGAAGTGTCTTAGTCTGCCATAAAATGAACCCTGAAAGAAACAGCGAAACTTTAAGAAATAGAACTACAAAATGCACTCCATTAGCATGTGGGGAATTAAACAACACTCTCACAGCAATTCATACTATTGTACGGTTTGGGGAATTTGTGGCTAATTTGTATGTATCAAAATTAAATGCTTGAAGATTGTTTATCGTTTTCAAACATTAAAGGTGTAGCAAATTGAGAGAAAGCAGCAAAGGAAGTGAGATCACCAGAAGAGGTACTTGCCTGGAGGATATTAATTCCACCTTAATTCTATAGATAATATAAGTTAAATAAGTTTTCATTTTATAAATTAAACATCTAGTCTAGCGTACCTGGTTTGTTAAGAAGGTTCATTGTTTTAGTTTCAAAATGCAATAAAAGTAAATACAGATTAAGTGGGACAAGAGGTGAAGTGAGACATTTAATTTTGTATTTAATGTCTTATTTTTTTTACTTTACGTAGTGTAGTGGAGATCTTTAACTGTTTAAAATGGCATTGTGTGGTTAAGTCATTTGGCATCACATTTTAAAACGACTAATTAGATATTTGTCTTAGTTGATTTGTACCCAACTAAATTAACTTCACTTGTACTAGGCATATTTGTTGGTTAATGATATACTTGTTGCTTTATTAATTTATTTGTGTCTGTGCAAATGATGATTTCCACCAGTATCCAATGAATTCCAAAAATAGGCTACTAAAAGTTACTTCTTGTCTTGAAGGTCAGGTCTGTGTGGAACAAGAACAGTTCAGTTCCGTGATGAATAATCATGATTATTAATCATATGTTCACAATTTCCTTAAATGATTGGCCAAATGATTTCGGAGGTCCCAGAAACTTTCCCCAGACGCGGGAGTCAGCTGCTGATGCAGACTCTGACACCAGGGCCAAACCAGTTGTTTTCGCGCGCCAGGTGTGTCCGCCTCATTATGCGTGCACACCAACTGTCTGCTGGCTGATCTGTAGACCTAAAAAGTTCTTCCAACGCAATTAAAATGTTCAAATGTGTGTGTGCAAGCAAGGAGGAATGCAAGATTATAAAGCAGCACGCAACATATTCTCTGTTTATCACATCTAACAGACGGTCCTTTACACGTATTAAGGACGGTACCGCTGGAGCAATAACAGCAGATGTGAATCATCTGCTTTAAAAAAAATAAATGAATGAATAAATAAATTACCTCTTCCTTTGAGGTTAAAGTTATTGAGTCACTAATGCATACAAAATGGTTTAAATTGTTTTTTTTGTCGCAGTGAATCTTCCCACATGTTTTAATAGGGAACAGTGTTGTTAATGAACTAGCTTTGGCACAAAATAGTTTTAACGACATTTTATCTTGATTCTGAAGCTTGGAAATCATTAATTGAGGGGGTGCTAATTTTAGGGGTCTGTAACTGAACCCCTAAAGAATGTCAAAAATGTTCTCAAAAGGTCTCTAAAGTATGTATTTTTCACATATCCTACAAGTAAATATATGTTTCAACAGATCCACAAAAGTTAGATTGAAAGTAACGTAATGAGGTAACGTTAACCATAACAACAGTACGGCGCTGGTTACAATCCACATGAAACTATTTATCAACATGTTTTGATCAAATATATGTTAAAATATAGGCCTAACCCGATCTCGTGAATGTGTGCGTTAATGGCACGATTTTCTATTTCTATTTGGCATATTTATATGCAAAAATGGACTTTGGGGTGTATAAGATGCGCAATTGGTAGGTTTAGGGGTGTTTGGTAGGTGCGTATATGTAGGCTACCACAAAATGCATATTATATGCACGCCAACAAAGTGTGTATGCATGCAAAACCCGCGTATTATATGCACGTCAAACACGTGCGTATCGCATGCACGCCAAAGTCAGTTTCTGCGTATAAATAGCACGTAAAATACCAGAACAAAAAAAAAAAAGTGCTATTGATACGCATTTTCATGAGACCGGGCTCCATATATGACGTTTTGGGTGTTAGTAGCCTTAAGAGAATTCGAACTTTTTTTTTTTTTTTTTTACCGGTTTAGGCTATACTATTGTATTTCTGCCAATAATCTAAATAAAATGTGCTTGATTTCTAAGCAACTAGCAACATTAATACTCATCACATTTTACAAAGCAGTTATGTCACCAACAGAGGTCACTGTTAATGCGACTTAAACAAGGAGTGAGGGCGGAAGAAGCAAACACTGCAGTGAACTGTTTGGTTTTGATTTGGTTTTAGCGAGAAAAGTAAACTGGATCTCTTTTGAGCAGCAAAAGGCGATTCCTCTCAAACAATTCAGCTGAAATATTCTGTCTCCAATCCCGTCTGCAGTAAGCCTAGAGAAATCAACCGGATGCAAAAGCACAAGTCTCATATTCGTATGCACTGGGTCCGGCTGTTGTTTACCTGATCAAACCGAGACTCGCCGAGTCTAAACGGAGGGTACTCAGTCGATGCAGGCATGGCAGGTGTTCCCAGATGCACAGTGCAGTCAGTAAGGCTGTTTTACTGAGATCTCAAAGTTACGCAGAGTTCCCTCAAGAGTGGTCGAGTCATCCGTATCGATGCATTTTGGGTAATGTCGTTTTCTAACAGGTCAAAGGATATGTGTGATGAATTAACTTTAAAGAGTAGCTTAAAAAATTGCCATGAACGTCAGTGAATCCTTGATTTTCTTTTATTAATAAATTAGGTAATTTCAGCCACCACAACTATATCATGGGGTTCAGTTTAGTCATTATTATGACCTTGTTGTCACTGTACAGGATGTGATTTGATTCATACCCTGTAATGTATTTACCCAAGATAGTCATTCCTCAAATAGCTTGTCTACATGCGGTGCAATATTAATTTTGTTGTACATTATGTTCTCCTATTATATGGTCTAAAAATACCAGAAAGACGTAATTCAGTGTGAGCAAATCTAAATCGTTTTATTACTGAGGCAAATGCCATTTGGATTTAGTTTGAAGCAAAATCACTAAAACAACTATATTTAATGCTCAATATACTAGTGTTGAAATAGTGGTTTAATTTTGAGACGCATGAGAGCTTTGTCTTCACGTCAAATAAGTACAGTCAGAGATGCATCCCAAAGTGAAAAGTTTATTTCATCAACAGAGACCTTTTCTTAGTAGAGATGCTTAAGAGCACACCAAAAGTCGACTGAACATCTCTCAGATGAGGCATTTGATAAAAAAAAGAATACACCACAACCTCCAGTGGAAACTCATGTTACTACACCCTGAACATCCACTCAAACAGCTGCTCAGGGAAGCACTTCGTATATTTTGCACCTAAAACAAATGGTTCCACTGAACACACCCTTCATGTTCTGTGCTTAAATGCTACTTGATACGTGAGGTTAATTTAAGCCATTCTTATTTTGATTGTAACAGGAATCCACTGAAATTTACACCAAAGGAGGAAGAGTTGAGCCTATAGTCTTAAGAATGAGGATTCGGGCATCAAGCCGCTTACCAATGCATTTCTACAACTTTAAAATAAACCCTTTGCAATTCTTTAAAAAAATATCTAGGTTTTAAATGACCTTAAAAGACAAAAAAAAGACATTCCAGACTTCTAAACAATAAAATGAAATGTAGTATAGTAAACAAAAGTTTTTATTTGCAAGTTCCAGAGTTTGTACTACATAAAATGTAGCTTTGATTATCATCTTCACCATTAAAAGCATACAAATCTTCTTCTACACACACATCTCATGACATCTCATGATAACATTCAGCCAAGGGCACTTGAACACACCTTCTTACTAGGCTGCAGGCTGTGTGTGTGTGTGTTGGTGAATATTTATATAAACTGCTGTTCAACACAGTGCCAACCTAAGCACATATTTCGTATTACATTCCATCTGTTTAGACCTAAAAAAAGTATGAATCTCTTAATTTCTGCAAAAGCCTGGCCTTCACATCTATTGCTTTCTGTTACTGCTGACCTTAATAATCACGAATTGATGTACACAAACAGCATTTAAAGGAAATGAGAAAATAAATGAACTGATCGTACAGACCTTCAGACCACCCAAAAGAAAAGATGACAAAAGACCTGGCCACAAAGCAAAAAAACAAAGATATTCGCATGATTAAAATGTAACACATTTTTGAAAAATTGTAAACTTTTACATTAAGCCTTAATAAATGAACATTCATTAATCCACCTTCAACAGTCCGAGCACACGAGTCCTTAAGTGCTTCTACTCAGAAATATGTTATTGATAGATCTTGAGCTTTAGGGACCAGCACTGAAACACCATGAATATCCTGTTTTTAGAGGATGATTTGTTTGTGCAGTGAACGTGTGCTTTTGACTACGTGCACGTCCTAAGCTGTTGAGAAAGAACGGTTGTAAATGCCTCGGTGTGAGGTTTAAAAGTGCTGCGGCCTATGCCTCTATCACACATCTACATATAGTGCTACATTGTACACAGACTGTGGCAACACTGATAGTGGCGACACCATAGAAACACCAGAATTACATTACAGTAACATTAACAGAGCTGTTGCGGTATTGAGAATACTGTAACGTTAATTTAGAGCAAATCATTTCTGGCATTTGCTGTTTTCATGGCTTTCGTTCTCTCTTCAGATCCATTTGTTCATCTCGATACCTAACAGTCTTGGGAAAGTTTAACTTGAAACACTCCTGCGCCATTCGTTTTGCAATATAATGTGCAATCTAATTAAAAGTGATTAGTTCAGCGAGAACAGAATGGAGAAAATACTGTATGATAAGGCAGCATTTGGCATTTTGTCAGAGTGGCATATATGCAATGAATACAGTATATATCCCATTCATTACACCTGAAAGCACTGGCAGCGATGTACGTGCATTGGCTCAAGCAAAGGAAGGGTGAGGAAGGACACTGACCTACAAACCGAAGCGAGAAGCTCAGTTGGTGTGAGCCTCTACCCTTAAGCTCTTAAGTAAAGTGCGGAAGACATGTAGGGAGGCACAAGCAGATTCGAAACTGGCTGATTCTGCTTTCTTTCCTGCTTTCTACGTCTCACGCTCCCTCTCACACACTTTCAAGTGATATCAAACTCGAAAAAACGGATCTCAAACACCCCAAACTTTTGTTCTCGGTTCAAGCAGCTGAGCGCTACATGTTAGAAAAACGTGATAGAAGAAACAAAAGATAAATCGATGTTTTTCTTCGTGCATTAAAAACCATTCACACTAGCACTAGAAGACTGGCATGTCACAGTCATGCCTTCCTTTCGATTGACAGGTGGTTTTGGTACATAGCTGGACTGGCATGTGTCTTAGTGACATGTCTAGTGAGTGAATATCAGCTGACACATGTCAAAATGGATCCTACCAGCTTTGAAGTTTAGCAGCAGAGTGCCGACCTTTAACCATCAAATGCAAACCTGCAGTCCATACGGACCCCAGCAGAGACCCAGGTATTTCTGGACACAGTTAAGAACACCAAATCTACACCCTCTCCTCCATGCCCATAGCTCTCTATATTTATATGGTTGCTGTAGCAGTGCAGGATTGTGACGTCCACCCAGCATTCGTGGAGGGATAGTGGAGGCGTTTGTTGTATCATTTCATCATAGAGCGGACCTGCAGCAGCGTGGGGGTCTGCTCCATGATGCGTACAAGAAGCGTGTCGATGTAATCCTCTAGATCTCTGATCAGGACCTTCAGCTTCTTTAGCTCCGTCTCGCGCTTCTCCAGCAGCGCCCCTCGCCTCTCGTACTCCTCCCGCTCCTGCCTGAGCTCAGTATCCCGCTGGATCAGCAAATTCACCAGCTCGCTGTGGTTCAGGTGATAGTACGTGCCTCCTCCCTCCACTAGCTGCTAAAACGAGAAAGACAAAAAAAGATTTACTTTACAAAAATATTCTGGAGTTGATTAAAAAAAAAAAAACACTTCTGGATTATGTTTGATTTGTGATCATGTTAATGAAAGAATTATTAGAAGCAGTGCTAGTGCTACTGAATCAGTAGATGCTGGTTTAATTTGATTTATATTTAAACATGGTCATTTTAGTAAATTAATTTACTAAAAATTTTCATCAGTAAAATTTTCATTCCAACAGTAATAAGAAATGCACCAAATCAGCATATTAGAATGAATTCTGAAGGATCCTGTGACACTGAAGACTGGAGTAATGCTGAAAATTCAGCTTCGCATCGCAGTAATAAATTACATTTAAAATTTTTAAATAATATTTCACATTATTACTCTTTTTGCTTTTTTTATACAAATGCAGCTTTGGCAAGCATAAGAGACATTTTTCAAATATATATATTTTTTATTAAAAGCCAACCCCAAACTTTTGAACTGTAGTGTGAATGTGGCAAAATTATATCTAATACTTTTGAGATAAATAGAGCAGTAATATTGCTTTAACTCAAATAATGATCAGAGTCGGAAAAAGTTGTAATTGCACTGTATTTAGAAGCCAATAAGGAGATCAAGTGAAAGCTGACAATGATTTCAGGTTCATCAGTGTCAATGAATTAAATGCGATCTGTTTACTCAAATAGCAAATTTATTATCTACAAAGCAGACTGCTTTATACTCATGCAGTACCTTCTTGTCAGCATCCTGGCCTGTTCGTCCTGAGTGGATGGTGGATTTAAGCTTCTCTAGTACTGAGCGACCCTCTGACCTTTTCTCATCAGGAGGTGTCAATGGCTTCACTGGGTGTGGACTAAAAGACATAATGACACAGCAAGATTAGATGGGAAAGAGTGCTATAAACAATGGTGACCGTTTCATATAATGAGTCTAGTGCTGGGCGGTATGACCAAAAATGTATATCACGGTATTTTTCAAAATTATACCGGTTTCACGGTACATGACGGTATTTTTTTTTCATGCATGACCGGGTGTTAACCATATTTTCTACTGATTGAGAGAGGAAATACTGCAGTATATTGACTTAGAATGCCCTATTTTACTGTCATGATGAGTGAATATTGTCAAAAAATACCACACTAAATAGCGACTAAACACGACCCCTTTTAATACATTTTAACCAGGAGTCACTCTCATTTATAATCGCGGGAACGTCTGATAAAATCAACATGCATCTAACACTAAAGAGCGGCTATGCAACCGGTATACCGCCCAGCACTAAATGAGTCAATGAATTTATTCACAACAGCACACCAGTTAAGACGTTTTCATGAAAAGTCCTTAGTTTTGAGAGAAAGGAGATCTCAAGAATGCAATAAATGCTATCTTCGGTTGCCATCCTATAACCCCTTAGACCAGATGCATTAAGGATAACGGAGTCAAAAATACGCAAGAAACCAAGCCAAGTCCCCGAAATCATAGAAACTTAAATTTACTTAGGCAAGCTTCCTGTGGACTCAACAACACACACTCACAGCTCACTAGGTTAACACCTGCTAATTGAAGCGAGGCTCCCCCATCTCTACTGTAGGATCCACAAGAGAGTGTGAGCCTATGTGTGACTGTCCATGGAGAAATCAGGAGACATGCTGCTACCACAAACAAATTAACACAAGAGAGAAGATGTGGACGAAGGGGAAGAGTCACCCTGCAACCCGGGAAAG